TGGTTAATGTCAAAAAGGCATTTAAAAATAAATCAACGGTTCTGAGTGGCTCTTATTCCCAAAGCTTTCATGACATTTTGCTGCCAGTAGACTAATGTTTTATTGATAGACTGCCCAAGGTAGTGGTGTGGCTTTCCATACTGACAAATGCTTGACCAACGTTTCCATGTCTGATCCTTCTCCATTAAAACTAATGCCCAATGCATTTTCAGACTAGAGTGTGATGTCTATTCATTTACATAATATTAGGAGACCTCTGAGGTCAAGTAGGGTCCCCTCCATTAACTTTCTTGCATTGTATCCTGGGATTTCCTTTAAAAACCAAAAGCAATAGTTAACTTGCTGCCCCTGGAAACACATGGAGCCTCCACAAATTGGTTGTCCTTCTAGGCTAAGCCCTCTAGGCATTCCAGCTCTTCCTGGAAATCCAAACTGTTATTTACTAGTAGCCTATTGGACAACAGGGCAGTTAAGGTTGCAATACTCTATGCACATCCCTGGGAGTAAGACCCACTCAATTCATGTGTGGGGCTGTACTGCAGGTACTTACAGCACAGGACATTTATGCTGATAGGCACCTTAATGTATTAAATAAGTGTATTAATAGGATGTCAATTCATTTGGCATTTAAATCATAAAAGAAAGAAAAAACACTGCTGCTAAATATTTCTTAGCCCCATGGGGTAGGGTACATAATTCATAGCTACAATTTTCAAGGCTTTATTCGAGCCTTAGGAGGTTGCCCACCGTCACAATGTCGCTCAAGCAAAATCTCCAACCAAGCAGAGAAACCAGAGTAAGAAAATTACGGTGAGGAAGATTAGGCAAGTTAGGGAGTATTCTCTTCAGGTCAGGGGAAATGCCAGCTACTCTCCCTCCAGTGATGCAGATTAATTATTGCACAACTATCAGAGGCAGAACTTGCGAAAGCCAGTTGGATAGGGCATGTAAGTCACCATAGAGAAGAGCTATGAAAACTCCATCTGCCTGAGCATCCGAAGATAATGGAAGTATCCTAATAAGTTCTCTTCAAAACACTTACAGTTATTTAAGGTTGACGAGGCACTGGACAGAAAAGGCAGAAGTCAACCATTTTCCTGTTTGCTGAAAACAGAGGTTTGCTCTTTAAACTGAGGCAAGTACAGTGGTACCTCGGGTTATGAACTTAATTTGTTCCAGAGGTCCGTTCTTAACCTGAAACTGTTCTTAACCTGAGGTACCTCTTTAGCTAATGGGGTCTCCTGCTGCTGCTGTACTGCCGCCATGCGACTTCTGTTCTCATTCTGAAGCAAAGTTCTTAACCCGAGGTACTATTTCTGGGTTAGCGGAGTCTGTAAGCTGAAGCGTCTGTAACCTGAAGCATCTGTAACCCGAGGTACCACTGTAATGCCAAGCTGACCTTTCGCAAACATAGTGGCCAATTCAGATAGGATGCACTATATATAGTGCCTGTTAGAAAAACACTGGGGCCTAACTGGATTGTTTATTTATATTTATTAAATTTTCATACTGCCCTATACCCACAGGTCTCAGGGTGGTACACAGAATAAAATCAAAATATAAAACCACAAAATCCTTAATCAAAATAAAAACAACCCAATAACCCCTTACACCAAAACCCCACATTTTAGAAGGGCATAGGATGTCAATCAAATCAATCCAAGGCCTGGTTAAAAAGGAACGTTTTTGCCTGGCACCTAAAGGTGTATAATGAAGGCGCCAGGCAAACTTCCCTGGGGAGAGCATTTCACAGATGGGGAGCCACTGCAGAGAAGGCCCATTGTGTTGCCACCCTCTGGACCTATTGAGGAGGAGGCACATGAAGAAGGGCCTCAGAAGATTATCAGGGTCTGGGTAGGTTCATAAAGAGGCAGTCCTTGAGGTATTGAGGTCCTGAACTGTTTAAGGCGTTATAGGTCAAAACCAGCACTTTGAATTGGACCCGGAAACCATTTGGTAGCCAGTGCAGTTGGACCAGAATTGGTGTAAACTGTCCTGCTCCGGTGAGCAACCTGACCACTGAATTCTGCACTAGCTGAAGTTTCTGAATACGTATAACACATTGCAGTAATCTAACCTCAAGGTTACCAGAGCATAGACAACAGTTCTTAGGTTATCCCTATCCAGATAGGGGCATAGCTGGGCCACCAGCCGAAGCTGATGGAAGGCACTCCGGGCCACTGAGGCCACCTGAGCCTCAAGCGACACAAAGAATCGAGGAGTACCCCCAAGCTATGAACCTGCTCCTCTAGAAGAAGTGTGACCCCATCAAGAGCAGGCAATCTCCCACCCATCTAGTCTAGGGAACCATCCACTAACAGTGCCTCAGTCTGATCTGGATTGAGCTTCAGTTTGTTGGCTCTCATCCAGTCCGTTACCGAGCAGAATGTCTGTCATCTTGGTGGGCGGGGCTTTTGTGTTGTGCTCCAGAATCGGCCCCTCCCTTTGGGTGTTCAGTGAAGTTCAGTTAGAGAGGCCAACTGTCCTTCTCCCCTCATTCTTGACTTTTGATGTTGTTTTAGTTTCTCTCAGACACTACATTATTGTGTTACAGTTTTCTTTATTATTAAAGCTTAGTTTCCATTTATGTGGGCCACTTACTTTTCTCAAAGGAAAAAAAGAAGAAGAAACTGCTGAAGAATGGTGGAATATCCCAAACCGGGTGAGTGAGAGGATATTCCCAGTCTGACAGGGATTTTTTTTAATCACCCCACCCTCCACAACGGTGCCATCGGTGTTTTATCAAAATACATAAAAGCAAGACACATGCTCTTGCCTTAAGCTGCTCACACTCTAATTTCAGCAGTGGGGGAGAGGAGAGGCAGAAGTGACCAGATAAATGTGATAAATATAAAATTGCAGCCTTCGTGCTTGATTTTGGGTGCGTGGAGGCCTCCACAATAACACCTGCATACTCTCCAACATTTCTCCAATGAAAATAGGGACATCCTACCATATTGTTCCTATTTTCATGTTGGACATCCTAAGGAAAAGTGGGACATTCCAGGATCAAATCAGAAACTGGGATGGCTTCTGTAAATCCAAGACTGTCCCTGGAAAATAGGGACCCTTGGAGGGTCTGAAATCGCTGAGATAAAGTCTGACTTACAGTGCAGTTCTATGCATGTTTAGTCAATAAAGCCTAGAGTCAGCACAGATGCTGTGACTAATTGTTCAGTGCAGTCAATATTTACTGAAGTGTTTGCTTTTACTTTAGCCACATATTGCTTTGTTTTATGATATTGTTATGTTGATACCAATGTTGGCTGTCAGTTTCTAATGCTTTGTCATTATCGTGAACTCCTTTGTGCAAAACGTTATTTCTGGAAAAGCAGTCTACAAATATTGAAACAAAACAGGGAAAAGGAGCACAATAAGCAGAGGTAAGTCATTTGAACTTGGCCCCAATTTCACCCTAGATCATTAAGATAATAAAATCTCCTGGTCAAGCTACTCCCATTGATAATGAACCTCTCATTTTTCAATGGAAGGATTCACTCCTAGGTTCAAAGTGGTAATTCATACCGACAATCTGGTTCAAAGAGAGGTGGAATGAGTTGTTCATCATCTTTGCTTTAAACAGATATAACTGCAATTGGACTTGAACGTTTTTCCCTGTAAGAGCGAAGCTCATAAAATCATGTTGTTGGAACTATGAATGCTGTGCTTTATTTCAAATGTGCACGGCTGTTTCAAAGATACACACCCATTACATAGAAAGCATTAAGGCCTTGTAAAGAGGAGGCAGAGCCAAGACTTACATTGTTCTCGCAGAACATAATTGCAATCATTTAAAGAAACCTTTTTACACACTTCCACATTTGTCCTGACTTTTCTATGCTCTGGGTAAATTAGCAAGCCTTGCAGGATCTTGTTCGTCCTGCATACGACTAATTGCCGTTTCGCATTTTCCATTACAAGGAATGGCAATAAGGCGGCCTCTTGTGCTCTTAGCTGTTGGAGGCTGTAGTGAAGTAAGTACTGTTTTTAACCATTTATGAATGATTCGTTGCTTGAATGCAAACACTGAAGGGACCGGAGACAGAAAATTCAAATATTACGCAAATGTTTAAGTGATCAGAATAAACTGGCTAGCAGAGCAGGGAAGCAGTGCGCTTTACACGGAAGTCAATCAAGTTGGCCCATTTCCAAATGGAAAACCTATAGTAGGGAATGGAAGCACTTTTACAGGCATGAGCAAACACCCTCAGCATGGTGGCACAAAAGCAACTGCACACAGGGACCTAGATAGTGTGCCTTTGATAAATGGCTCACAGCTGAATGTGTGAACCGTCTCCGCTAAAAAGCAGTGTGTTTAAGTTGACATTCAGCAATGTTTCCATCTGTGGCAATGTATTCAGTGATTCTAACTTATCAACAAAGCAATGGCAAACCTAGATAGCATCTTAAAAAGCAGAGACATCACCTTGCCAACAAAGGTCCGTATAGTTAAAGCTATGGTTTTCCCAGTAGTGATGTATGGAAGCGAGAGCTGGACCATAAAGAAGGCTGATCACCAAAGAATTGATGCTTTTGAATTATGGTGCTGGAAGAGACTCTTGAGAGTCCCATGGACTGCAAGAAGATCAAACCTCTCCATTCTGAAGGAAATCAGCCTGGGTGCTCACTGGAAGGACAGATCCTGAAGCTGAGGCTCCAATACTTTGGCCACCTCATGAGAAGAGAAGACTCCCTGGAAAAGACCTTGATGTTGGGAAAGATGGAGGGCACAAGGAGAAGGGGACGACAGAGGACAAGATGGTTGGACAGTGTTCTCGAAGCTACCAGCATGAGTTTGACCAAACTGCGGGAGGCAGTGGGAGACAGGAGTGCCTGGCATGCTCAGGTCCATGGGGTCACGAAGAGTCAGACACGACTAAATGACTAAACAACAACAACAACATCAACTCATTAGCATCAATTAGTGGATTTAGTTCAGAGCTGGATGCTGTGTGTGCGTGTGTTTTAAAAAAATAGCTATCTATTTATTCTTCAGACAATTTTTCATCCAAATAGTAAATTTAATGCTGAGTCTACAAAGGTCAGTTAGTAGTGCTCACGTATTTGCATGAAGCTTGCTTGATGAGATCCATTGGGATATTTGATGCCACACATATATACATAAGATAAGATGGTTTGCTGACTGCATATCTTTGTTAAAGGGCAGTCTCTGCAAATTTCACCCATTGCCACATGGCAAGCTCAGCATCAATAAATAAAGTGATCAGTGTTTTGGACTTTCCCAGCTGCTGATAATGGCAATGCTGACAAAACCCCTTTAACTAGGAAATATGGATGGGGGAGAATTCGGGCCAGTTTCATGCTATAGGGGCTGAGACTACATTTTATGTACGGACCATGAAAAGTTTGGGAAATGATCTCCATGCTGAACAGTCTTTTTTTAAAAAATATATCCCAGAAGAAAGCCATTTTGTAAGGATGGAAATCCCCCTCCAAGAAACTTGTTGATAGATCATGGAAATATTCACCTCCTTTCACAGTGCTGTTCAGATCAACTTACTCCTGCTGTTTGCTCAATCATTGCTGATCCTGGTTGCTGCACCCTCCAACTTCCTGGCTTGGTTACAGGGGCTCTATTCTGTATTTTTGTGTATTGTAAATTGCATCAGGCCTTTGACAGGATTTATATATCATCTTCCTCCATCAAATCAATCAGTCTGTGAGCAATCCAAATGAATTTGAAGGTTGAAAGGGATGATATCAGTTTGCTTAATGGCCAATCAGAAGCAGCTATAGCCCTCCTCGGATATTATCATTGGAAGAAGGAACATGAGTGGAGTGAAGCTGCAGAAATGCATACTCAGCCTGGAGCCATGTGACTCCTCTGCCTGCTTTGTGTGTCTACATCAAACTTCTACCTGTTTCAATGAATACAAGCAGAAATGAGCACAAGCAAGGGCAATGTTTATGAATGGGGAAGCATACACACCCTCCCCCCCCAAAAAATGTTATAAAAATCAGAATTGGAAGTTGTTGTTTCTGACAATGCCAAAAATGTTAGGGAATCATAGAATAGTTTGGACTCAGTTCAATGGAAAAAGATGATCAGAACTCACATGCAACTGCTATGTCTTTGGGATGCCAGACAATGACTGCCTCTGCCCACTGTTACTGCCAGCTTCAGGGACACGGGTGGTGCTGTGGTCTAAACCACTGAGCCTCTTGGGCTTGCCGATGAGAAGGTTGGCGGTTCAAATCCCCGCAATGGGGTGAGCTCCTGTGGCTCTGTCCCAGCTCCTGCAAACCTACCAGTTCGAAAGCATGCCAGTGCAAGTAGATAAATAGGTACTGCTGAGGCGGGAAGGTAAACGGTGTTTCCGTGCGCTTTGGTTTCCGTCATGGTGTTCCGTTGTGCCAGAAGCAGTTTAGTCATGCTGGCCACATGACCCGGAAAGCTATCCGTGGACAAATGTTGGCTCCCTCAGCCTGAAAGCGAGATGCGCTCCGCAACCCCACAGTCACATTTGACTGGACTTAACTGTCCAGGGGTCCTTTACCTTTTACCTTTTTACTGCCAGCTTCAAGGAGATTGATGACTACAGAGCACAATATATCCCTTCCTACTTGAAAGAGAGGGACTGCCATAGCAACCTTATGCTGATACTGCTTGACTGAACATTGTGGGCTCCTGATGATGTAGCCTGCTTGAAGGAGGCGGACTGGGCATTGTGACTTCATGATTATGATTACTGCTTTAGGGGGAGGGACTAGCCATTGTGATCTCATTCTGACACTGCTTCACTGAGGGGCAGAGACTGGACATGGTGACATCATGCTGATGCTGCCAGCTCCAAGGAATGGCTATTGTGATCTCACGCTGATGCTCCCATTCAGTTGTTGTAGGCTGCCTCTCCAAAACCTGCTTTCTTCCATATCATTTTCCTTCTTCCCACAACTTCCTATCTACATCCCTTAGTGCAAAGTAGATCTCTGGGTGATTTGCAGCAGATTGGCAATGATTTCTGATAACAAAAGGAGCGACAAAATGCCCCACTTCAACTTAAGCTGTTTAAATGAAGAATGCTCTGGGTAACACAGAGTAGGTTTTTGTGTGGAAGATTTTGAGCTCCATCCAGTTCAGATACTCAAAACTTAATTTCCGGGCTCAGACTTATTTAATTCTAAGTTTATGGGTTTTGCATCAGGGCTCCAGCTGGTGGATCTGGGGGGGTTATAGTTAAAAACAAGGTAAATCTGCAAATCTGAGATCTGCCTGCCAACAATGCTTTTTATAAACTCTTACCAGATTACTGCTTTGACACTATTCCTCCTTTAGATGACAGCAACCCTGGCATCTTGTCCAAGCAACTCTTCCTGAGAGGCAGCTTTGGCATTATAGTCTGTGGCAGGGGTTCACAAATGGTGGTCCGCAGGCAACCAGCAGCCATTTCTGTAAAAATACAATTTAAGGGATTATACAGCACCTCCCAGTGGAAAAGGGATTAAGCATCCCACCAATGATCAAGGGTTCAGCAATTTTCAGTGGTTGGGGGGGGGGATGTTTTGGAATGACTTGTCCAGGGCCTGAGAGCCAATGGTTCAGCCTCCTTGCTTAAACTAAGCAGCCTTGGGTCTGCTCAGTGGTTGCATGGGAGCTGGATGGGAACCTCCACTGGTGCTGCCTCCAGTTCCATGATGGAAGAAAGGCTGGTTATAAATGCACCATATAAAGAAATGTGAATATAATTCATAAAGGACCCCTGGACGGTTAAGTCCAGTCAAAGGCGACTATGAGATTGTGGTGGTCATCTCACTTTCAGGCCAAGGGAGCCGGTTTTTGTCCACATAAAGCTTTCCAGGTCCTGTGGCCAGTATGACTAAACTGCTTCTGGAACAACGGAACACTGTGGCAAAAACCAGAGTGCACGGAAACGCCGTTTACCTTCCCACTACAGCAATACCTATTTATCTACTTGCACTTGGCATGCTTTCGAACTCCTAGGTTGGCAGGAGCTGGGATGGAGCAACGGGAGCTCACCCCATCATGTGGATTCGAATCACTGACCTTCTGATTGGCAAGCCCAAGGGGCTCAGTGGTTTAGACCACAGTGTCACCTGTGTCTGATAATTCAAAGCACCCTACATATCTGCAGTCTGTCTGCCTTCTGTCTCATGTTGACCTGGAATTTATAGGCAAGCTAGGTCTGTGGGAGCTAATGGGCTGTCTGGTGTCAGGACCATGCCAGAGCCCAAAGAGAATAGCAGTTTCCTTCTACTGCTTATCCTGGAAAATCTTGCTACAGGCACAGTTGAGTATTGGCTGAGGAATTCTCAGCTGTTCCTGACAGAAACGTTGCTCCCCCTATCTTTTTGAACCCTTGTAAAATTGGACATCCAAGCCCATCCCCTCCCCGCCTCTTCCCATCAGGACAATGTGACACAGCAGAGTTTGAGAAGATCTCTAATCCCTCTTTAAAAGTTGGTTTTGTAATTTCAATCTGTCATTAGGCATGCAACTTTCATCTACTCCTCCACCGTAATTAGTGGTGGCCACATCATTAATTTCTGAATTAGCAAAAACAGTTGGTTTAAATTAGATCATCAATGAAAGTTAACACTGTAGACAGGAGGTGTTAAAGCTGTGCCGAGATGATGAATAGCTCGATGGTGCATTTAATCTCCAGGCTTGGATCTTGGGTAGAACAATGGGACCCTGTACATATTTTGATTCTAGTACGTAAGCACCCTAAAGAGATGGCAGGGTGGGAAGCGGAAGCCAGGGTTGTTGTTTTTTATCCTTGTAGTTTTAGTTGTTGTAATGCCACTTTAGATGGGCTTTGCCTGGAAAAGTGGCATATGCAAATTTTAAAATTATTTAAATGAGTATGCATCTGGGGAGCAGAGGTATGAGGGGATCTGGCAGGTGCATGGTGGAACCGACATACATTGGTACCTCGGGTTACAGACACTTCAGGTTACAGACGCTTCAGGTTACAGACTCTGCTAACCCAGAAATAGTACCTCTGGTTAAGAACTTTGCTTCAGGATGAGAACAGAAATCGCATGGTTGCAGTGTGGCGGCAGCGAGAGGCCCCATTAGCTAAAGTGGTGCTTCAGGTTAAGAACAGTTTCAGGTTAAGGACGGACCTCCAGAATGAATGAAGTTCTTAACCCGAGGTACCACTGTATAGGCAGAAGGTCATCAAGACTGCCTGTAGCCCAGTCAGCCTTGAATTGAACATTTTTAAATCACCTGCCAGGTGAGGAGGATCCAATGGGTTGCCTGCATGGATGGGATCCCATTGGAGGAGGTGGCACATCATAGCCCTCATGACCTTTCAACCTGAAGTCTTGAATGGCTCACCTCAATGGGCAGCAGCTCTAAGGAGTTGCTGGTTCTAGTTCTGATGGTACAATTAGTCCTAGCGATCACTGCAGAACTATGCAGATTATTACAATGGCTGAAGGTTGGTACTGGCCCCCAGATCAAATTGTAGAACAGCTTTATTCTTATGTATCAATAAACATTGTCCAGCCCTTTACTGGTGTGAATAATATGGCCTCTTCTGCGTTGCCAAAAAAGGGACAAAAAGTGATACAGATTGCTTGAAATGTGTGTATGCTAATACATTTATCTAAGTGCAACTATATACAGTGGTACCTCAGGTTAAGAACTTAATTTGTTCTGGAGGTCTGTTCTTAACCTGAAACTGTTCTTAACCTGAAGCACCACTTTAGCTAATGGGGCCTCCCGCTGGTGGCACGCCGCCACCACACAATTTCTGTTCTCTTCCTGAAGCAAAGTTCTTAACCCGAGTACTATTTCTGGGTTAGCGGAGTCTGTAACCTGAAGCGTCTGTAACCCGAGGTACCACGGTAAATGCTTAAAAGTGACATCCAAATAACTCAAACTTAGAAAAGACCTATTGAAATCAATGGGCTTAATACAGTGGTACCTCGGGTTAAGTACTTAATTCGTTCCGGAGGTCCGTACTTAACCTAAAACTGTTCTTAACCTGAAGCACCACTTTAGCTAATGGGGCCTCCTGCTGCTGCCGTGCCGTATGCATTCCATTCTGCATGCATACTAGTTTATAGTGGTGATGCACTGTGGTGCCCAGTGCGGGGAAACCAGTTGTGCTGCCCTAAATCTGCCTCTGGCGGCTTGTTCCCCATCCCTGATTTAATGAATAATAATAATAACAATTTATTATTTATACCCCGCCCATCTGGCTGGGTAGCCCAGCCACTCTGGGTGGCTCACAACAGAATATTAATAATATTAATAATAAGTGATAAAATATCAAATATTAAAAACTTCCCTATATGGGGCTGCCTTCAGATGTCTTCTAAAAGTCAAATAGTTGTTTATTTCCTTGACATCTGATGGGAGAACATTCCACAGGGTGGGCATCACCACTGAGAAGGTCCTCTGCCTGGTTCCCTGTAGCTTCATTCTCGTAGTGAGGGAACCACCAGAAGGCCCTTGGAGCTGGACCCTAGTGTCCAGGCAGAACAAAGGGGGTGAAGTCACTCCTTTAGGTAAACTGGGCTGTGGCCATTTAGGGCTTTAAAGGTCAGCACCAACACTGAATTGTGCTTGGAATCATACCGGGAGCCAATGTAGGTCTTTCAGGACCGGTGTTATACGATCTTGGCGGCTATTCCCAGTCACCAGTCTAGCTGCCATCCATCCTCCAACCACCTCCAGACACTCACATAGGACATTCACCGCCTTCACTGGATTCTCATTTAAAAGAGAGGTAGAGCTGGGTATCATCCACATACTGATGAACACCCAGCCCAAACCGCCTGATGAGATCATGGTTGTATCGTAAGCCCCAGTGAGTTTGATGGGAGCTCATGATGATGATAACTGAGTAAATATTCTTAGGGTTGTACTGTATGTCTGACATGATGGTCTTATGGATGCTTGTAAACAAAGTCACAGCGACAACCATAGCTGCCAATCAGATTGCCCAGCAATATGGAGCAAACAAGGCTGAGGATTGTTTGAACAAACTCAATAAAGGAAAGTGGCACCTGCACTAGTTTATTTTCAGCATTTTTTAAAAAAATTGCATTACCCTTTCTGTTGAAACTAAAGGCTATTCAGTGCAGTTCTACGTACATGACTCAAACAGTATTACATGTTGGCAAAGTATCCCCCCCCCAAAAAAAAAACAACCCACATCAAAACGAACTTACATTCTCCAAAGAATTTTCTTTCCACACAAGTAATTCATTCAGTGCCTTATTAAAACAAAAACTACCCTTCATCTTTTACTGAGCTAAAATTGCTTTTGGAAGGCTTTGAGAAAGTGAATATAAAATCCTGAGAGAAAATGCTAAGAGTTAAAATAAATAAAGCACATGTCCCATTATCCATGAGTGCAGAGGTCTTTCTACTTTGTTATGCTCCAGTAATGAGCATAATGGTTTTATCTGCATAAAACCTAGATCCCATTACACAGTTGTTTTTTCTTGTTAAGGGTTACAATTATACAGGTTTCTGAGCTATTGAGGGTTGGGAAGGGACTACTTCTGCATAAACATTTGTTATGGCTTTCATCTGCAGAATATGTTTTATATAAAACTCCAGGCTGCCCAGCGGAGGTGCTGCTGGGACATTTCTAAATATTAAGGACCTGGAAAAGCCGCCTTCTGCTCTGATAGTTTACCGTGTGGAACATAATCTATGTAGCTCTTTAATATTACTGTTGTGGATGTTGTTAGTTGTTATTCATATATTGGACACACACAAACACGTACACTCACACATATCCATGGCATTTTACACAAGGGAAGTATTACAGGTACCTATCTCAACATGATAGCAACATTGTACAACAGGTAAAAAGGTAAAGGGACCCCTGACCATTAGGTCCAGTTGCGGATGACTCTGGGGTTGCGACGCTCATCTCGCTTTATTGGCTGAGGGAGCCAGTGTTTGTCCAGAGACAGCTTCCGGGTCATGTGGCCAGCATGACTAAGCCGCTTCTGGTGAACCAGAGCAGCACACAGAAACACTGTTTACCTTCCCACCAGAGTGGTACCTATTTATCTACTTGCACTTCATGCTTTCAAACTGCTAGGTTGGCAGGAGCAGGGACCGAGCAACAGGAGCTCACCCCGTCATGGGGATTTGAACCGCCGACCTTCTGATCGGCAAGCCCTAGGCTCTGTGGGCAGGCAAATGTGGGCAGGTTGCTGAACTATTCTCCCTCCATTCCTGACCATTGGCCATGCTGTCTGGGGCTGATGGGAATTTGAGACCAATGACATTTGGAGGGTCACAGCTTCCCCATTCCTGCTTTACAGGGACTAGGGGAATGAGGAAGCAGCAATTCCAGAGGGACTAGAAAAAGGGAAGCAAAGAGGAAGGAAGCCAGTGAATATGAATGAGATCAGGAGAGGAACATATGAAACCCCATTTTATGGAGC